AATCTAGGGAATTGAACTGAAAAATACAAATAAAGATAGATATTGCTTCAGCAGCAGGGTCATCCTGATGAGATTTTTAAAGTGTGGTTCTCTTCTGAAAAGTGACGCTGTAAAAATGGCACTTTTTACTAAACAGAGCTGCTCCATGCACGTCTTCAGAGTTCCATGTGCTCTAAGAACGAACAGTAAGGTGACAAAATCCTGGCTTCATTGAACTCAACGGTACAACTCCCGTTGACTTCACTAGGGCCAGGATTTCACCCAGGCTGTGATTGCTTTTTGCTCAGATTAACTCTGCAGAGTCAACACAGCTACGGGAGAGTTAGTTGGATTCCATTTCTCTTTGTGCATCATCAGATTTGTTCACTAAGTGCCAATGCATTAGACATATGTAAATCTAATTGGTGGGAGTGCATTGGTATCAGTGAAGATCACCTGTGCAACCACATTGTCTTCAAAAAGAAGAACAGGAGTACTTGTGGCACCTTAGAGACTAACAAATTTATTAGAGCATAAGCTTTCGTGGACTACAGCCCACTTCTTCGGATGCATACGGCTGCTACTCTGAAATTGTCTTCAAAGAAGAAGGAGGGCAGATTTCAGCCTACACAACTATTCTACACACAAGAAGGGGGTGGAGGGAAACAACAAAACCATAGATTTAATTCAGATCCAAAGCAGACTTAGAAAGCTGCAATTAGAAAGCGATTGTAAAATGAGCACATGCAATATAGAATCACTGAGAGGTAAAAGGGATAGTGTCCCCCCTAATGTCATTTTTACAGTCACTTTCCACAGTAGCACCATATCTTAAGTCATTGTGGATCTTCTTTCCCAAATGTGAAGACTAAGCATAAAAAGAACCATGATTTTTCCTTAGACCTAATTTAAAGGAAATGCAGAGACTTGTTACCAATTGCATCAAACTCAGAAAAACCCAGAACGATAAAAGTAGCAAAAAAACCCAAAATGTCAGTGTCTACCAGCTTTCCTCCCTCTGCTTGTAGAAGGAAATAAAGTAGGTTTATACACATTTTAACAGAACACTGTATTAGAGGGCTAACCAAGTGATACAGTTGTAGCAAGTAAGCTGCTCTGGGGTTTCAGGTAGAGTGCAGTGCATTGAAGAGACCGTGTCCTTAACAGAATAATGAATTTCTAGGGAGCAGGAGGACTCAAGGAAACGGTCACATAAGAAGTAAATTCAAATCCAGCCTAAATCAGTAGTGACTCACAGTTGTTACCAATGGAGGGCTGTTTTTGAAAATAGATAACCATTCATTTTGTGGTCTTGATACAGTTACAGGCAGACAGTTGTTAGCCTAACAAAATTCAAACACAATTGGCACTAATTAGTCCTCTTGCTGGCAGTCTCAGCAGACCATAGGGACTTTACATGTGGTCTGTCCAGATCAGGTGTGAAGCATGTCAACAAAGGACAACGTGAAGAAGTTGGCACTGCTGCCGCCCATGCTGTACCTAGTCTATGGAAATATTTCAGTCTCCACTATGACAGCTGAAACCTCCCCAAAATTTAAGAATTTGCACACAAAAGTTACAACTGGAAGTTGTTGTTCAGATATTGTTAGTGGCACTGTAAGGATTCTGATGTGCGATTTACAAGCGCCCTCTGGTGGTCGTAAAGATAGCAAGGGGTTCTCAGAACAATTTTTTTTGGTGGCCTCATTGTGGGGCCACCAACTCTTGCTGGTGGCTGCTCTTGTACTTTCTCCTAAAATATTGAATTAGTTTTAGGAAAACTAAATAAATACACACACAAACACATCCAAATCATTATAATTTATTCATTGCTAGCTAGTAAGTCTGTTGTGAAAAGTGCTATTAACAAACATACAAGTGTCACTTTTCACAGCAGACTTACTCTGCCCTGGCAAGCCTGGGGACAAATTAAGCTGGATGGAGGCTCAGGGGAGGCAGTGGGGGCCAGGGGAGATGGGGGTGGTTGGCTGGGGGAAGCAGCAGGGGACTGGAGCCTGAAGCCCTGCAACCAGAGTCTGAAGCCCCATGGCCAGAGGACAGTGCCCAGGGACAGAGCCCAAAGTTGAGTGGCTGGAGCGTGGGGTCTGCAGTCGTGCAGCCAGAGCCCAGAGCTGGAGCCCAAAGCCCTGGAACCAGAGTTTGCTGCCCCACCATCCCAGCAGTGAAGCCCAAAGCCTGAGTCCAACTACCCCTGGGAAAGCAGGGAACTCACCAGCTCCCTGCACCTACAGCATTGTTCCCCAGCTGACTCTAGATGGGGGCAGGGCCCAACCCTTGTTGGTGGCCCCAGCAACCAAATACCAGTACAGTGCATCCAGGAGAAACAGGAGGGGGAGGCGGCACTCCTCCCCCCCCAAATCACAGCCCAGGAGACTGTGGCCACAAGAAAAGCCCCTGGTGGCCACATACGAGAAACACTGCAAAACACCTCGGGAATGGAGGTTGTTTGTAACTGTGAAATGCTCATAACCCCAAACAAAGCATTATGGTTGTTCTTTCAAAAGTTTACAATTGAGTATTGATTTAATACAGCTTTAAAACTTTACTATGCAGAAAAAAATGCTGCTTTTAACCTTCTTTATTTAAATGAAACAAGCACAGAAAGTTTCCTTACCTTGTCAAAAAAAATTTTTAAACTTTCCCTGTTTTTAATAGTTTACATTCAACAAAGTACTGTGCTGTACAGTATTTTTGTTTTGTTTTGTCTCTGCTGCCCGATTGCATACTTCCAGTTCAAAATGAGGTGTGTGGTTGACTGGTCAGTTCGTAACTCTGGTGTTTGTTTCTCGAGGTTCTACTGTAACAGGAATGAACTTGATCAGAAAAAGAAGAAAGCCCTGTATAATGATGCAGGGTCAAGTCACAAGCAGAAAATAATTGTTGCAAAAACATTCATCTTCAGATTATGACAAAACAGAGTAAGAGGAAGCTTCAGACCTTTCAAAATATCCTGCAGCCTAACCTCAGTTATGCAGCACACCATCGGGGATTAGGAAAAGTGGCCACTAATGACTCATGCACAGGAGTGAGAATCTTTTTGCAGGAGCTTTGTTGTATAGCTACCCCAATAAACTTGAGAGTGGCTGATGTGCACTGATCATGTGCCTATGGTCATTAATGGCCCTTTAACTGGGAAAGTAATGTTTTCTATTGGTCAGAACATAGGTCTGGAACAACTCCTGACCTATGCAACTAACTTTGTGGCTTGAGTAAGCCATTAACCAGTTTGCCTCAGTTTCCCCAGCTATAAAATGGGTATAATGCTTGTATATCTCAGAGATGTGGTGAAGTTAAAATTAATTACAAACATTCAATTAAAGTGTCCCAAAAGCCCTAGAGTTCTTCCTAAGAAAAAGGGATTTTTAATTATAGTTTTAAAAATACAATTGCAATAATGCATTAAGTGTTTATTTAGTAGTTATTCAGTATTACTTAGTTCAAGATAGCATCAAATAGTTGCATCAATTTATGAATCAAGAGATTTGATCAAATTTAGGGCCAAATTGTACCCTCATTTTGTATGTTGTTCTCCATTGAAGTCACTGGAGTTTTGCATAAACACTGAAGTTATGTTTACCCAAGCAATTTTCTTATTGGGAATCATTAAGAAAGGGATAGATAGTAAGACAGAAAATGTAAGATTGCCTCTATATTAATTCATGGTAAGCCCACATCTTGAATACTGTGTGCAGATGTGATCACCCCCATCTCAAAAAAGATATATTGGACTTGGAAAAGGTTCAGAAAAGGGCAACAAAAATGATTAGGGGGTAAGGAATGGCTTCCGTATGAGGAGAGATTAATAAAACTGGGACTTTTCAGCTTGGAAAAGCGATGATTAAGGGGGGATATGATTGAGGTCTACAAAATCATGACTGGTGTAGAGAAAGTAGATAAGGAAGGAAATCATTCAACAAAAAAACTTCAGAAACAGACTTCAAAGAGAAACAGCAGAACTAAAATT